CTAGCCACCTCTATGGTGTTTTAAGGAAACCCCACCACAACCACTACTGCCTGCTGAATCTAAACCTGGTCTCATAATCTGTCTCAACCTAGTGCCTCCCGTGCCCTCTACTGACAGGTGGGCATTGACTAAAGGCAAAATGAAACCTTTGATATTTCTGGAACTAGGATTCTGGAAAGATGAGCCTTATGATAAGGGAGGTGTTCCAGACTATCCAATACAGCTCCATTTCAGAGAGTAAAACCAAAGCCAGGAAAGATAAAGAGCCAATCACAGGCTCCATGACCCAATGGCACAACTGGGTAGGGCTTAGATGTCTGTCCTCATCTGTGTCACCGAACAGCCTTACCTAACCTAGAATGCGATTCCCAGGACATTCCCAGGTCATGCTCACTGGAGTTGAGGGGGAGTTCTGAGAATAGGGCCCCCTTCCCTCACATGTCTTCCTAACTCCAGCTCTGGGCTGGGATTCACTTTCTCCAGACAGGATGAATCTCGAGTATTCCAATATACCAAAGCCATGGGAACAAATCAGAGGCAAAGAGGTGGGTGACACTCCAGACGGACCTTCCCTGCCCCCCTAACTGGCTCTTGCCCAGCCCAGCAGGGCTGTTCCAGCCCTACCTCACAGGGTTTGGGCGGGGTCTGGCAAAATTTCCTGACATCCAGGGCCAGGTTGGGTCTTTCGGCACCTCCTCCCTTGCAGTTTCAGGATCACGACTCTCTCCAGCCGTTCCATCTCTTCTCCTTGTTTTCTCGTTCTTTAATGTGACCGTGTTTAGCCACAAGCCCGTTTGGGAATCAGAAGGGAAGTAGATGCCTCTAAGGCCAAACTATTTCTGAGGGTGACTTCCATCTCAAGCCCTAAACCCTCTTCGCAATTTTATTTTTTTTCCAGATGCTGCCAACAGAGCACCCAGAGCAGTTCTATGAGGTACATTGGCCCTATTGGATTTGATTAAGAAAGCTGTAGGGGAAGGACCAACAGATGGCACAGCAGTTATGTCACTGGACTCCCACATGGCCAATCGTGGCTCAAGCCCTAGACCAAGTGGCTTGAAACTCACATGGGGCATGTGTGTGTGCATGCCCAAGATCTTGGACAAGAATGGAGAAGGGATTGGGGTGTGACCACCCCCCTTGGGGGTGATTTCTCACTCTCCTACTCACTGTCCTTCTCTCTCTCCAGTGAGTATATTGGGTTTTAAAGCAAAAACATTTACACACACACACACACACACACACACACAGGCAAGTAAGCAAGCTATTGGGAAAATACAGGCTGAGAATTTTATGCTTGACAAGCTCAAAAGACCATCTTGTCTAAACTCTCCATTGTGTATCACAGGGTGGCCCAAGGCCTCACAGGAAGCTGGGTCAGATTTCAGGATTTTGGCTCCCATTTTGTCCCCTCTAGGAGTTAGATTACCAGTGAGGTGGTACTAGCCTTGCACATGCTGAGGTGACAAGGAGGTTAGGAGTGGCGATTAGTGGAGCCAGCAGGAGAAAGAGTCCTGGGCCAGGTGCAGGGACTAGGTACTAAGCCTGCTCTGCACCTGGTTCTCTGCAAGAACCTGAGTGAATCACTTCCTCAGAGTCTCTGAGGTGTGTAAGTTGACTCCTTCCAAGAAGTCTGTTTCTGTGGATCCTACCTGACCTCTCTGCTCACTCGCAGAGGGAGCCACCTTCAGCAACCCGTGAAGATTATGTTCCCAGCTCCAGGAAGCTTCCAACCAAACCTGCAGAGCCGCCATTGGTCTGCGATCTATCACAAGAAAACACAGACTCGGATTATGAGGTATTTTTCTGTTATGCTGATCTTTGGACTTTGAAAGTCTCTCTCTCAAGAGAAATTTTCTTTTAAAATCTTTTCTATTCCATTCTATTCTATCATTTTCTAGTTCCTTTTGTTCCATTCCTTTCCGGTGCACACCATTTTGAAATCCATTCCATGTTTCCATCGCATTTATTTTCACTCTACCTATTTTCTTTTTATTCATGGAAATGTACTCCATTTCTGTCTTTCAATGTCACATTACTCCATCCATTTATTCTCCATTTCTCTCCATTCCCCCAACTCTATTCATTCCTATTCTTTTTCTCTCCATGTCTTCCCATTCACTCCACTCCATTCCAGTTCTTTGCATTCCATCTCACTTCACTCTGTGCGATCCCGTTGCATTTTGTTCCATTTCTTTCTTGTTTTGTTCCTTTCCATTCTTTTTCATTTCTATTACTATTTATTTATTTATTTTTGCTATAGGGCATGTGCACTCACCAGAGAAAGACAGACAGAGACAGGGAGAGAGAGAGTGAGAAATCATTCCCCAAGGGGGTGCCATGCCACAATTCCTCTTCTGTTCTTCTCTTGGGATTCGGAGCATGCACGCTCATGTGCCTGCTGAGATTTTCAAGTTGCTGAGTCAAAGGCTCAAACTATGCAGTTGACCATGTGAGCTTCAGTGCCTTAAACTCTATAACTCCTGCTGGCCCCATTGTATCTATTTTTATTTATTTTAAAAATGTCATTCAGAAGAGCTGAACTGAATTTCACTTTCTCCAGACAGGATGAATCTCGAGTATTCCAATATACCGGTGGCTTAAACTTCACACTGGGTGCACGGGCATAAGTGCCCAAAATCCAGAGAGAAGAATGGAGGAGAAGGATTGCGGTGTGGCCATCACACCTGGAGGGGGGGTGATTTCTCACTTTTTGCTATAGTGAGTATATGCGCTCTATAGCAAAAATATCTCTCTCTAAAAAAAAAAGGATTCTTAATATTAAGAAAGATAAACCCTTGGGACCAGCAGTTGGCGTAATGGCTATGTCGCTGGACTCCTGTGTAGGCGACCATGGTTCAAGTCCCAGACCCGATGGCTTAAACTCATGCCAGGCCTGTGTGTGTGTGTGTGCCCAAGATCCCGAGAGGAGAATGGAGAAGGGATTGCGGTGTGGCCATCCCCCCAGGGGGTGATTTCTCGCTTTCTGTTTCTCTGTCTCTCTCTCTTTCTGGTGAGCGCACGCACCCTATAGCAAAAACCTCTCCAAAAAAGAAAAATCTTTTTCTAGGTTCAGACTCTCTAGAGGAGAATCAGATTGGCTGAGGCCATCGTATAGATTGTGTTTAGGTTTGTCAGCTCTCCAGTCAGCCATGAACAGATATAGATTTAGCCACTTAAGTTCCCTTCTTCATTAGAGGCTAGAGAGGGGAATCCTGTTTGTTCCCTATTATCAGCCGAGTAAAAGTTCTTCCCAGAAATTCCACCTAGTAAGCTTTCTCTTTTATCTCTTCAGTCAGAATGGGGGTCACCTGGTACTCCCTCTTGTAAAGGAGACTAACAAAGTGAGGTGTTAGCCTTCCCAGTCTCTTCAGTAGAAGCAGGCAAAGGAGGTGTGGAGAAAAGAGTTAAGCGGCCAACTCAGTGTCTGCTATGTCACAGAGGGAGGAAAAGAAGCAAGCCGTACAAAGGGGATATACTGGAGCACTCCAAGTCGAGGGGCATCAGATGAAAACACACCGAAGGGGATATATTAGGTGTCCATTGCATATCAAGTTATCTCAGGTTTAATAGCTTAAAACAACACACATTTATTATCTCACAGTTTCTGTGGGTCAGGATTCCAGACATTGGTTAGATGGTTCTTCAGTGAGGCTGTAATCAAGGTGCCAACCAAAGCTCAAGTCTCACCTGAGATTTGATGGGAAAAAACTTACCAAAGTACAGTGAGAAAGGAAGACACCCTCTGGAATTTCCAACCATGGGAAAGGAAAGTGCCAGGCTGTTTGTGTCTACAAGTAGACCCACGCCAGCGAAACTCACCTTTCCTCTTTGATTAACAGGTGCTTGTGAATCCAGGGGCCGACATTTACTGCCAAATCAACCCCTCAACCTAATGGAAGCAGAGATCCTTTCTCCAGAAGTCCTTTCTCCAGAAACCACACTCAGGGACCAGCAGTTAGCATAATGGCTATGTCGCTAAACTCCCATGTAGTCGACTGTGGTTCGAGCTCCGGACCTGGTGGCTTACATTCATGCCATGCATGTGTGCATGCATGCCCAAGATCCCGAGAGGAGAATGGAGGAGAAGGGATTGTGGCATGGCCATCCCCCCCGGGGGGTGATTTCTCGTTTTCTGTCTCTCTGTCTCTCTCTGTCTGTCTGGTGAGTGCACATACTCTATAGCAAAAACCTCTACCAAAAAGAAAAAAAAGAAACCCCGCTCAATCATACAGTCAATGGCATTTATTAAGTGCATATTATAATCCAGACATTCATCTTTGTAGACTTTATGGTGTTCTGCCAATGTGTTTGTTGGTCAGGCTCTGGATCCTGACTTCCACCAAATCTTGGGTTTTTGATTCATATTTCTTTAAAAGGAATGAGGACAAGGTGAAAGTGACAGCCCTTGGAACTAGAATTAGAGACCAAGATTCAAGACTTATTAGCTGAGGATACCATAGTCACATACATCTTGAAGCTGAGCAAACACTGTTGGTGGACATAGCAGCAGGGAGAGAATGAGTCTGAGTGAGCCAGAGATGAGCAAGGGACACATGCAGACGTCAGATGAGCAGTGGCTTTTCAAAACACGGTAGTGGACAAGGGACAAGGAGCTGATGGGAGAAAACACGAAGCAAGCCAAGGATTTAGGCTCCTAGGGAGGAGTAGCATGAGGCGCTTTGAATCTCGAGGTGTGAAAAGGTGGAGATGGTGAGGATGGGATTTGTTGAAGGCGAAGAGAGTGAGGAGTCGAGAATGGCTCGAAGGCTTCTTGCCAGAGCAACGAGATCATTGGGAGATCACTTTCTGAGGCAAGAACTGGGGAGGAGTATGTTGGGGACAGGAAGGGAAATGGACAATTTGGTTGAGACATGTCGGAATCAATTGGAGAACTGAGTAGGTAATTCTTCATAAAAGCTTAGATTCGTCTTTTATCTCTCTTAGTAAGGTTTCAAGGATTCCTTCTAACGTCTTATATCCATCATAATAAATTTACTTGTAAGTTTTTTTATTTCTTTGTTTTTATTGTGAATAAATATGAACCTTTTTCAACAACTTAGAATTGCTTGTATAGGGACCAGCAGATGGTGTAATGGTCACGTTACTGGACTCCCCAGAGTTTATTGAGGTTTGAGTACCAGACCCTGTCTCTCCTTTGCTCAGGTGAGCACACACGCTATAGCAAAAATCTCTCTCAAAAAAAAAAAAAACTGCTGGGAACCAGCAGTTAGCATAATGGCTATGTCGCTGGACTCCCACATAGTCGACCGTGGTTCGTGTCCCGGACCCGGTGGCTTAAAACTCACGCCGGGTGCGGGTGCGTGCGTGCCCAAGATCCCGAGAGGAGAATGGAGGAGAAGGGATTGCGGCGTGGCCATCCCCTCTGGGGGGTGATTTCTCGCTTTCTATCTTTGTCTCTCTCTGTCTGGTGAGTGCACGTGCCCTATAGCGAAAACCTCTCAAAAAAAAAAAGAAAAAGAATTGCTTGTACAGAGGAAAGATACAAAAGAATTGCTTGTACAGAAGGGACAATACAATTCCTTTCCTATTTTTTTTTAGAGATATTTATGCTATAGAGCATGTATGTTTGCCAAAGAGACAGAGAGAAATCACCCTCCGGGGGGATGGCCACATTGCAATCCCTTTTCCTCTACTCTCCTCTCGAGATTTTGCACACATGCACACATGCCCAATGTGAATTTCAAACCTCCGGGTCTAGGATCTAAACCACAGTCGGTCATGTGGGAAGTCCAGTGACATAACCATTATGCCATCTGCTGGCCCCTGCCCCTTTTTAATATAAAGTTAAGAGCACAGACGCCATAGTCAGACTTCTTGGGCTCGTATCTCAGCTCTACTCTCACAATCTAGGGTGAGTTACTGAACATCCCTAGGCTTCACTTTCATCTTCCATAAACTGTAAATAATAGTACAGCCTTATATGCTGACATGGGTCTGGAGACCTTCATGAGTGCACACACATACACACACACGCACACACATACACAAGAGAGAGAGAGAGAGACTTACGACTGTGCCTGGCACAGTGTTACATAAATGCTTTAAATGCTTACTACTTTTAATTTTATTGCCAGAGGATACATGTGCTTATGAGAGAGAGAGAGAGAGAGAGAGAGAGAGAGAGAGAGCACTCCCCCAAATGGAGCATGGATATGTTGCAATCTTTTTTCTTCCATTTCTCCATTCTATGGTGATTTGGAGCACAAATGTACAAGCACCCAAACACACCAGGGTTGGATTTGAATAGCAATCAGTTATTGTGGATTCCCACATGTTAACCATGGTTTGAGTCCCAGACCTAGGAGCTTGAAAATCACAACAAATAAATAGATACATAAATAAATTTTTAAAATTGGAATTTAAATGAGGAAAACTATAGGAGGGCTTTGACAAGCATTCTTTTCAAAAGCTAAGAAATACTTTATTTTCAAACAGCAGGGCTCTAATTTTAAGCTTTCTCCCTGGTGGGGCGGTATTTAATAGAATTACCTGATTGGGTTATTGGGCCAGTTGATGAGATATTAAAATGTTTAATATAGGGCCAGAGGGACCAGCAGACGGCATAATGGTTACGTCACTGGTCATTCATGTAGTCAACTACAGTTCGAATCCCAGACCTGATGGCTTAAACCTCGCACTGGGTGACTGTGCATGTGTGCCCAAGATCCAGAGAGAATGAAGGAGAGGGGGTTGCGGTGTTGCCATCCCCCCGGGGTGATTTCTCACTTTCAGTCTCTGTCTCTCTGGTGAGCACACACACCCTATAGCAAAAATATCTCTAAAAAAACCCATAGAGCCAGGAACTTTTATTTACTCAACAACTATTTATTGGTACCATTTTAGGTGCTGAGAATATGCAGTGGCCAAAACAGATACAAATCTTAACCTTTATGGGGTTAACATTCTAGAGGTGAAGGCAGACAACAGACTAAATAAAAACCTAAAACATGTCCTGTGTTAGACAGTGAAACATTCGCTACAGAAAATAAAGATGAGGGAAAAGGCAGGGAGCATGTAGGGAGGGAAGGGTTTGTTTGCATGTTTAGATAGGTGGTTGGGCAATGCCTTATGAGAAGTTGACAGATGGTGAGACCAGACGGTCTGGTGACCAGACGCTGAGAACCGGGTGGATATCTCAGAAGAGCCCACCAGACAGGGGGATCAAGATAGGCAAAGGCTTTGTGGCAGGAGATTGCTTGATCTGTTGCAGAAGGGGGTTAAATGTGCCAGGCAAATGTGCAGGAGGTGAGGGCAAAGAAAAAAGGGAAAAGTAGGGAATAGACTGTGGCCTTACTGGTAGATAACTCGATTTCTAAAAAAGGATGAAAGGAATTTTACTATTATTATTTTTAAAATAATAATTTACTTACTTAGTTCTGTTTGTTATTATTACTATTTTTAAAATTTAATGAGAGAGAGACAGTGAAAGGGTAAATGAGAAAGCAAGCCACCAGGTCCGGGTCCCGAACCGCAGTCCACAATGTGGCAGTCCAGTGCCAATCCACCTGCCAGCCCCACTATTATTATTAAATACCAAAATTAATAATAATAATAATCACGTCCTTGATGGGCTCGGTAGCGGTTCCGACTTTAGTAAAATGAGGATATCACAACTGTCTCAAGGTTTGCCTGGGGCGCCAAAGCAGAGTCTGACAAGCGCCCAGGAGAGGTCCCCGTGGATCCCATCCGATGCCAATTTCCAGGCGACTCCCCGGCGTCAAGCTGGGCCCACGGCCAGCCTTTCCCAAGTCGGCCACTCCCCACGCGTCGCTGCCCTGACGTCGGCCTTCAAGTTCCGTTCATTGTCTCGGCACCCTGCAAAAAAACCCAAAAAACAAAAACAAAACTGGACGCCCAGGACAGGACGCCAACCCTGACGCCCCCTTCCGGTCGGGCCGCGTCCCTGCTCCACGCCCCAGAAGAACTGGAATGCCGCCTATTCACGGCCCGCGCCGCTAAGGCTTCTGGGAACTGTAGTTCCTGCTGTATGAGCCCAAACGCACTTCCGGGTTCGGCCAGAGAGCCGCCATTGTCTCCCCGCTGGCGCTTGCTGTTTCCTGCACATCGGCCCTTTGCTGTTACCCGGCGCAGCCTTGCGGATGCTGGCTAGGGGAGTAAACTAGTTTAACCCGAGTCGGTCGTGCTGCAGGGTCAGGGGAGGGGGCTATTTAGCCCGAGTTCGTCCTGCCGCAGAGCCGTGTCACGAACTGAGGCTGGGACAGGCCTGGCCCGGGCGAGGAACCGGGGCTGAGGCTGGTTCCGGACCGCGCCGGGTGTGCATTCGCGCATGCGCAGGGACCCAGGCGGGAAGCTGGAAGCGGTGGTGAGTGTGGTGGGCGACCTGGCATCTGCACGGGCGGCGCTTTAGCCCCGGGTCAGCAAGGCTGGTTGAGATACTGGGTAGCTGCCGAGTCCGTCGCTGTGCTCTGTGCGCATGTGCAGGTATTCAGGTGGCGCTCTTGTCAGTGGCCCAACCCGGGTTGGTGGAAGACAGGACCCAGCGATTTGGGAGAGATCCTGAGAACACCCCCTTGGGCCCACTGTGTGGAGTGCTCAAGGACACCGAGAATGATGGAGTACCCAATTGCAGATTGTGGTTACTGCGGGGAGGGCCACCGTTCCTATACCCTTGAGGTGTTCAGGTAGGAAGCACAAAGCAGGAGGTAAGATTCAGGGCAGATTTGAGACTGGGAGGGGCTGACTCTGGTGACACTCAGACTCTCGTGTTCGTGTTCGGCAAGAGGAGGTCAGCGGGACCCAGTTCCCTTGGGAGCTGCACCATCATGGGCATGAGAATCCCCTCCGCTGGCAAGTGCCTAAGACCTGGGGCCGGTCCTGGAGCCTTGTATTCAGGCTCTGTGTTGGCCTTCTGGCTGCAGGCACGCAGTGGCGCAGGTGACCCCAGAAGTCACCCAGAGGCTCGTGAGTACCTGAGGTGTGCCAGATAGGTCGAGGCGCAGAGCGAGAGATACAGATTCTCATCTGGAGAAGGGACTGCACAGAGGTCCTAGCTGTGGATATGGAGCGTAAACCTGCTGGCTGACATGCCAGTGAGAGGAGGGAGCCTGGGTGGGGCCTCATGGGCACTGGCTATAGAGGCCTGGGGACAGAGTTTGCATCTGCAGGCCCTTAACTTAAGAGGCACTGGCCTGCCCCAGCTGTACTCTGCACATGCCCTGGCATTTGGGCAGAATGGAAAGACATGGGCAGTCCTAGGACCCTAGTGCTACCTGAGGTTGCCCAGGTGGGTGGAGGGAGCAGTTGCCAATTTTGGGCTGTGGAATGCTAGGCTGTGCCAGGCACACATGCACAGGTGTTCAGGTGGGAAACAGGAGGCTGGAGATGTGTTTTAGACAGAGGGTGCTGAGGTCTTTGTGCAGATGGTACCCTGATCAAAGCCTGATAATTCCCACGTTGATGGAAAGACAGGATCTCCCTGAGCTCCAGGTGCCCAGGAATGTGTTTGCCCCAGTCTGGGCAGGAGCGGCCCAGGGATAGACTTGTGGAAGTTGGTGGTGGAACCTGAGTTTTGGTGCAGGTTGCACTGAACCTGCACTGTACTGTTTGAGTGGAGATTTGGTGTGGGCAGGGCAAGGGATAG